CTACCAATCCATTAATTAAACCTAGATCTACTTATAATTTCACTACGTTGACCACGGGCTCCGCCAGTCCTAATATAAAATAACTGAGATCTACTTATTTCACTATGTTGACCCCGGGGTCCACCGATCCTTAGTTAAACCTAGATCTACTTATTTCACTACGCTGACTTCGGGGTTCACATCCTAAAACCTAACGTTTTGTTAGGTAGACCCCGGGGTCCACCTATCCTTTTGGCTAGATAGACCCCGTGGTCCGCCTATCCACTTTCTTGATAATAACTGAAAACAATACATGCCAGTTGTCATGAATAGTGAAGAAAAATGTGAAAAACAAAGATAATGAGGTAGACTATAATTTTTCCAAAAAATTGCAAGTGCAAGTGAAGATCATAAGATAATTTTTTTATTTTCTGGTCACCTTTTCACGGTTTATAAAATGTTCCAGTGGGCCTACTACTACTACTAGATCTATGTCTCTGAAGAACATTTTGCTTGACTTTATTAGCTTTTTTCATGTACTTGAAAGCATAGAATATATAGTTTCACACAAATGTAAGCACAATACTTTGAAAAAGAAAGATAAGGTCATTGTTGTTTTTTTAAATGGAATCCGTTTTACGTTGAGAAAAGCGCTAAAAACAAGTTAAAATTTTTAAAGAATGCCCATAATATTAGGAATCCGAAATTACTACCTTGATCTAGTTGGCTTACTCTTTAATAACCATGAGCAGTTAAGAAAAGAAAAAAAGAGAATGATATAGGATTTGTCTAAATATGACGACCATTAGTATTAGCAATAAGATATTGCCCATTTTGTCCAATTATCCTTGCAGGTAAAATCACCCTGTACTGTACCTCAATAAGCACAAAAAGATTATTTCTATGACTTTGTAAACAGGTGTTTTGTAGTTGAGTTCTATGTTCTTTTCATTTAGTATCATCCTCTATTTTGAAATAATCCCCTGCACTAAATAAAAAGATCAGTAGAATCTCGACCTTCCGTATCCATGGTTAGTTCAAGAAATCTACTACTATAAGATGTGGCCTAAATAAGGTAAGGGAGGGGGGTTTAGCTTATTTAGGCCATATGTGGCCTAAATAAGGTCACCCGAATGCAAAACAAAGTAAACAAGAGTGGATTTGGCATGTTTCCTCAATATATGTTCAAAGTCATTTTTGTGTGTTGAGAGTGTGGTTTCTAATGCAAGACTGAAAGACTCATTCAGATGTGATAATGAAGAAACTTGTGTCTACAGTCACAACAGAAAGAGTTTCATGGCGAGTGATCACTGGTCAAGGATTTCAGAGCTGTGCGCATTAAAAAAAAAATGTATCCCCATACCCTGGATCACATGTCGAGGGGATGGGCTTGTCCCCCTGTAATCCCCGCACACACAGTAAACGCACACATTTTTTAACACGTTTATAAGAAAAAATAAGTGGTCTCTTGTTACGGATCAAATTGAAGTCCTGTTACAATTCGATTAATTGATAAAAGCGCGTATCGCAATGCATTGGCCAACCCTGCCCTATAGGCCTATGCTATTTAATAAATACATTCGTCAGACCTGGAATCTTTAATGTCCGCAAACAGTAAACAAACACATAATTTTGAACACCTATAAGAAAAAATAAGTGGTCTCTTGTTACGGATCAAATCGAAGTCCTGTTACAATTTAATTAATTGATAAAAGCTCATATCGCAAGGCATCGGCTAACCAAGCACTATTACGCTATTTTATACATACATTCGTCAGATCTGGAATCTTTAATCTATAATTTTTAATCCCCCCACACTGTAAACAAACACACATTCATGAACACGAATAAAAGAATGGTCTCTTGTTACGGATCAAATTGAAGTCCTGTTACAATTCAATTAATTAATAAAAGCGTGTATCGCAAGGCATCGGCTAACCAAGCACTATTACGATATTTTATAAATACATTCGTCAGACCTGGAATCTTTAATTTTTAATCCGCGCACGCTGTAAACAAACATACATTCATGAACACGTATAAAAATATAAGTGGTCTCTCGTTACGGATCAAATTGAAGTCCTGGTGCAATTCAATAATTGATAATAGCGCGCATTGCAATGCATTGGCTAACCCAGCCTTATACGCTATTTAATAAATACATTCGTCAGATCTGGAATCTTAAATTGTAATCATAATTATATAATGTGCCCGCGCGTAGGAAGTGAAAGTGAAAGGAATTGAAAATGCTTTCAAAAACAATTATCAAAGTAACATAATTAAAGTAGGATTACATGTGCTTATAAAGGCCCAAAAAGGTGTATGGATGCGGAAATTAATGTTTCGGATGAAAATAATACCCGGTACGCTATCTCTACTACTGTAGCGTGCGGTCAAAAATTTGTTGCGCAACTTACTATCAAATATCTAGGCTACTGAACTATCGAACATCTAGATCTAGATTCTCGTACTTTTGCACGACTTAGATGTATCAATTCGTCTGAACACAGATGAGTATTTTTTCAAACATTTATACACATAAGTTCTATATTATTCTAGAAATTTCTTTAAAGAAAATTCTTTAATAAATATTAGCCCAATATTTAAAAAAAAACCCAGTCAATGCTTTCTACAGATTTCTACAAGTTTACAGCTGGAGATAAATCTTTTTAAAAGCAAGTCCGTCCTTTTTTTTTCTACTTCTGCTGGCGACATAGCCTCTTAAGCTAATTATTGAACACATGTTTTGAGAACATTAATTAGATCAAGTGAAAAAATATGTTCTGTGTAAAACAAATTTCTTGTGACAAGTTTTGCTACTAAAAAATGACATAGACCATATGCGTGTATGCAAAATGTGTGTGGGAAGCTAGAAGTGTTGTGAACAATCCCATCCGTGTTACCAATTTTTTCAAAGTTCTGTAGATCTTGTATAAACTCCTGTCTGTTTTTTCTGTTGTTGCACCCAAAAACACAACAATTTAAAACCATAATTTCAATCTCCAGGTTGCACAATGAATTCTGAAACTCAAAATTACAAACTGGACAGTAAATGTTCCACTTTTCACTTGTTTGTAAAAGCCGCTCTGGCTTGAAAAGCTATAGGGTTACTTCCGAAAACGATAAATCTTGCCCTCAAGACGCCATTGTTTTCGGTCTTCAATTCCTCACAGGTCACGTGGTACAGTGCCCGTTCTGTGTAGAATTCTGTGGTACAACTGTATCATCAGCATAGATCTATACTCAATTGTGCTTTCTAATTCTAATCACAGCTCCAAGCGGCTGTGTATATTACGTATACTCGATTGGACCTATTAAGATGTTAATCAAGAAAGAGACTAGAGGTTTCACATGCTTGCACCTTTAATTTTAAGAGAATCACTTTGGACTAAAACACAATGTTAGAATCAAATTAAACACGTAAGAGCAGAGACATGCCCACTCACATGTAAACAAACTTTTTAGCCCCATAAAAAATGGCTGCCAACAAACTCAAACGTTTTCGTATCATGTGACCTCGTACGGACTCTAGTTTAAAAGGGGCTACCTCCTATGGTATGGTTCTGCCTGAATTGTGGAAGCTTTCTCAGTTACTTGATAAACCTGCTAGGATTTGATTCCTTTTTTTAATGACCTTGTCTTATTCTGATCAATATTGGGTAGATCTAGATCTAGTCTAGATTTTAACATTTGTTTCTGACATTGTTTGCACAAAAGTAGATTCTAGTCCCGTTCATCTCTCATTTGAGTTTGAGTAAGTAAGTCAAAAGACACTTGAATAACAAAAAGCAAGACGGTGCAACTCGGTAAGCAGTATTTCCTGTCCGCAGTGTCGTCATACAATACCTAAAAATATTAACTATATTTTGCCATCACACAAGACGTCACCCGGTCTAGGCTTCGGTGTTTTAATTAGCAGGGGGTAGATCTTGTGTTTACGTTCTCAAACGTTAGATCTAGAGAACGTATACAAGCTACACAGTGGACATCCAGGTCAACAACCAGAGGCTTGAGACCATATGCAGCTTCAAATAGGCCTACCTGGGTACAATAGTGACAAGCGAAGGATCAAAACCAGACATTATCTCCAGAATAGTGCAAACTTCAGCAGCAATGAAAAAGTTGAAAACCACCTGGAACGACAGAAATATCACCATCATGTCAGTATTTTTGTATGCGTGTGAAACCTGGACCTTGAAAGAAGGAAAGCTGTGGAGATAAGATGCTCCCGAAAAATCCTCAATACTTCATACAAAGATCACATCACAAATGATGAAGTCAAACAACGGATCAAAAATGAGATTGGACCATAAATATGCTGACCTTCTCTTGTCAGAAAACGCAAACTGCAATGGCATTGGCATGGACACATCACCCGTTCATCCAGTTCCAGCCTTGCCAAGATGATCCTGCAAGGCAGCGTCCAGGGAAAAAGGAGCACAGGCAGACCGAAAAAGAGTTGGGAGGGAGGACAACACAAAGGAATGGACAGGCCTGGAACCCAAAGACACGCTCAAGGAAGCTGAAAACCGGAAGGAGTGGAGGAAAAGCGCCCCGATGGACATCCAGTCTACAGGATAGGTGAAGGTGAAGATTAAGTTAGATCTACCTCTGTTAACATATTGCTATAATCTATACGTCATCACAGAGATTTGAAAGCTTGAAAATTAATGGCAACTTTTGCCATCTTTTGGACCCACCCCCCCCCCCCAAAAAATGGCAACAAACACAAACGCTTGCCAGAAGAGGAATTGCGGTGGGCTAATAATTCATACCAACTAAAAATTAAAAAGGCAAAGAATTGGGTAAAAACCGACACGTAAGCCCGCACTGACTCAATTTAGACAATTTAATAGGTGGCCTGGTTTCACCCAGTTAAAGCCGTCCACACATCTTTTTATTAAAGAGAGTCCCTTTTCTTAGTTAGTATGTAATTTCACTTCAGCAAATACATGTAATTAACAAGTTGCAAAGGCTGGGGGGAAAAAAAAAAAACAGACAGAAAGAACAAAACATTAGTGCTCTTTTTTCCAATAAATATCTTTATTAGCGCCGTACGATGCAATGATTTAAACTTCACAATGCTTTTCAAATGAGTCCAAGACCAGGTTTAATACAACTGCACAGGTGACGCATCCTTTGACATGATGCAAGTAGCTGTCTGAATGGATGCAAATCTTTGCTGATTTTTCAAAATCACTTTCCACTTCCAGAACTCGGACAGTGTTTATAGATAGCACATCTCAAGCATCCAAGTCAACTTTGCAGCTCTAGTATTTGTTGTAATGCTGCAGTCTGAAAAATAAAAAAAAAGTAAAAGTGTTTGAAATTACAAACTGCATAGAGACAGAACTGAAAAGAGATGTTAAACATCACCAGGACTATTTAACTGACAATATCAAATTTATAATAAAAAAAGACCCCGCCCCCACAAACATTCAAACCAATCCTCCTATATACATATATATGTAAAAAGAAAAAAAAAGCCCATGGAGCTAATTATAATCTTTACAAAACTCCTCACGGCCACAGCGCAGGACCAAAAGGAGTCTGTGGAGAGCCCATGGGTTGCTGGACCATCAGCAACTACTACACAGGCAAAACATTACATTTCATCATCATACTGCCTGATATTTCAAGTTCTTAAATTTTTATACCCTACCAAACTATCCCTTTGTAAAATTCAAAATTTTTAACGAAATAATGATGCCAAAAAGGGTTTTGACATTTTTACATTTGAAGTATTTTATGCGTATATCGTCGAAGTCGACACATTTCAACAGGATGTGCCGAACTGTAAAGTATATGTTGCACGCCACACAAAAAGGAGCCTCCTCTAAGGTAAAGGTTTGAGCGTGACGTGTGTGTGTCCTATTTTTAATCTTGTGTAAACAACATTCTCTCTTCGTTGGAGAGACATGAGTTTCCTGGGCGTAAGTTTCGGTTGAAAGTAATGGAGTTTGTTGTGTATACGTTGGTTCCAAAGTTGGGACCAGGAAGATGCGATGTGTTCTTTTCCTTTCGGTTTCACGTCAGAGAAAGGGATTTTACTATTTTTGTTTGCAGGTAGTTTTAGAGATTCTTTGGCAAAGTGGTCAACGACTTCGTTGCCATCAATGCGTACATGGCTTAGAAGTCAAGCTATTGTAACAGCTTTTCCAGATTGATGTAAAAAATGCAGTTTAATTATAAGTTTTAAAATTCTGTTGTTGGAGGTGTCAGAGTGCTATACTATAAAGATTTCAGACAAGAGAGAAGAGTCTCAAGGGATTAGGAAAGTAGACTTGGTAGATTTATCTATAATATTTAGGGCCATTTCAAGAGCTGTAGCCTCAGCAGTTTGAAATTGAGGCTTCAGGGTAGAGTTTCCTTAAGCTTAAACTGTGTGGCTGAGCAAGGGCAGCAGCTCCTACTGAAGTGTCATTTTTGGATCTGTCTGTAAAAAGTTTCTCTTCTTCAGGGCATGTTTATTTAGCAGTTTGTATGAGTTTAGGTCTGTAGTTTTGTCTGTAGACTTTTTGTTGTGTATTTCAAGACTTGTATCTATGTTTGGTTTGGTTAAATGCCATGGAGGTATGCTTGACAAGGCAAAGGGTTTGATTACGCCTTTAGAAAAATCAATGTCTTGGAGATCGTTTTGGGTTCTTATTCCGAAAGGGCTTACTTTATTTCCTAAGGATGATAGGGTTTTTAGATCTTCAGGAAGGCCAAAGACATTTGTGGGCAGGGTTTTGGGGTACAGAGCTAAGTTTCAAGGCGTACTGCAAAGTGAGTTTTTATTCCCCAAGTTCTAAAGATGGTTTGAGAGCTTCTGCCTGCAAACTGTCTACAGGTGAAGTAGGGAAAGCGCCCAGGGCAAGACAAAGACGGTAGGACTTCCTCACTGATCAGTAAACAGGACTGGCATAGTCCAGCCTGGAACGGACAAGGGATAGTATTTTTAAGGCGTTGACAGCACTCTGACACCTCGTCTTTAGGTCTTTCAAGTGTGGTAGGAAAGAAAGTTTGTTGTCGAAGATTACGCCCAGGAAACGAGCTTGTTTTTTAACAGGAATTTTCTCCCCATACAAAGATAGGTCTTGTGCGACAGGCAAAAAAGGACAAAGTTCGTTTTTGCTGTAGAAAATTTAAACCCGTGCCCGTTTGCCCAAGTTTCCAGTTTATGGAATTGAAACCGAAGCTGACGTTCAATGTCATCTATTTTTTACTTTGATTTACAGCAGATCAGGAAGTCGTCAACGTAAAGTGAGCAGTCTATATTGTTTTGAAGGGTTTTTGTGATGGAATTGATTTTGATTTTTAAAAGTATGGGTGATAAGATGCTTCCCTGGGGGACGCCTTCTTCTTGGATGTGTAAATTTGACAGGGTTGAACCTACTTTTATTTGAAATGATCGATCTTTCAAAAAGTTTCGTATAAATTCGGGAAGATTTCCGCGTAAGCCCAAGTCAAGCAGGTCTTTCAGAATAGGCCTGCCATGTTTCCATGTGGTGTCGAAGGCTTCTTCTAAGTCGGTAAAAAAATTTTTTAAAAATAGCCACAAGGTGCTCTATCCGAATGAAAGCTTCAAGTCCGACGAGATGGTCAAGAGTAGAGCGATTTTAGCGAAAACCGCATTGGAAATTGGATAAAGAGTTTGAAGTTTCAAGAAACCACATCAGACGTTTGTTAATAAGTTTTTCCATAAGTTTGCAGAAACAGTTTGTAAGTGCTATGGGATGGTAGTTTGATGGGTTGAGTGATCTTTTTCTGGTTTTAGGATTGGTATAACAGTGGCAAGACGCCAACTGTTCGGAAATTGTTGAGAATGCCAGAGTATGTTGTAAATGTCAAGGAGTAATAGGAGTGTTTGATGATTTCGTTGTGTATTAAATCAGGGCCTGGAGCTGTGTTTGATAGCTCTGCAATGTTACATTTTAGTTCACCAAGAGAAAAGCTGCAATTATAGTCTTCTTCATTTGAAGAGGTAAAGTGAACAGTTTCAGAAGAAGTTTTCACTTTCATGAACTCCGGGTTGTAATTTTGGGTAGAAGAATTTCTGGAAAGGGTTGATGCTATACAGTCAGCTCACGTACTGATTTTTCTGTCTCGGCGAAGGAGTTATTTGGTTTTGAGATGTGTTTCATTGTGTCTCTTTTGGTACTTTTTAATTTTTTTAATCATATTCCCGACTTTGTGCATTGGCGTGTTGCTTATTTTAGAGACATAACTGCGAAAAGACGGGGGGTTTTTTGGCCGTTCTGATTATTCTGTGTGCTTGGGCTCGAGCAATTTTGAAATTTGTCAGGTCTTCGTTTGTTTTAGAGTTGACGAACTTCCTGAGAGCTGATTTTTTTGGCCGAAACAGGTTTTTGGCAGTCTTCAGTGAACCAGCGTTTCTTTTTTCGGGGTTTGGTGGATAATTTTGGTATGTGTCTGTACGATTTCTAGAAAGGTTTCATGAAATTGATCAAAATTTGTTTTTGAGATGGGTAAAGACTCTGGAGGCATTCCATGTGAAATCCATCCCAGTCCGCTCTTTTAAAATTGAAAAGGTCTGGGATTAGGTTGATAAGGAAGTGGTCCGATCTGTGGGTCGTCCAGGACCAACCACAGAAAGGCTGGAATTAGATCTGGATCACATAGGGTTAAATCTATGGATGAAAAGTTTAAGTTATTTGAAATGTTGGGGAATTGTCGTTAAAAATACTGGTATTGGTTTTTGTTAAGAAATCTTCTATGATTTTACCTTTAGTGTCAGTTGGTTCATTTCCCCAAAGTCTGATAAGTTTCATCCCGGTTGTCAGTACAAACACTGCTATTCTCATCAGTTGGAAATTACTTCTGAAGTCTAAGATAGTTAGGCTGACAATATATGTAATAATAATTTTTTAAAGCATATCAGTCCCATTACCCAGTGAAAAGCTTTACGAAGATTTTGTTTCACATGAACCTAGGCCATTGTTAACAAACGGCGTTACTTTTTTTCTTGATCGACTATAAAAACCCATGCTCAAAATTCTCTTTAAAAAGCAGACTAATATCGAAACTAGCAGTGAAGCTTCCATTTAATATAACCATACGAAAAATGACGACTGAGTAGTTCCTCTGTGAAAACGGTGTTCGGCCAGCGATAACTCGGGTGTAATGAGTTAAGTCTATGTTTGAAGCAAGGGCAAATTTTGTCTCCTGAATACAGGCCACAAGTGGGCTAGAGTGGCCTGAAAGTGTTGTAATTCTGCAATGGAAGATCAGAGTTCAATTGTCTTTCCAATGTTTTCACCAATCCTGCAGTCACGAAACATGGAGACTAACTGTTTTATATCATACATCATCTTGCTACAGACTTAGTACCTGTAGAGCAAGCACCGGCCTTTGTTATTCCCGAGAGCTAAGTAGCCGCTGGAAGGAGAGAAGTCCAGACTGAGGATCATCTTCATGTCGTGGTCAAACTGCTCAGGAAAATTGGGCAGAACTGACAGAGATGGAAAGTGCACCTGAAACAATATATAAATCACATTAATGCCTATACATAGATTCTTCTCTCAGATATAAAAACCAAATGAATTCAGGGCATTTTTGCATGGGAAAATAAGTCTGCTATGAAGATTTTGTTCAAAAACAATTCTAAGATTAAAAAAAAAAAAAATCTAATTTGTAACCCAATTTTAGCTATTCAAAATAAACAACTGCCACTGTAATAATGAGCTTGGCTGACAAAAAAAGGAAAGGGAAAGAAAGCGCACAAGCAGCAAATCACAAATAAACTTGTCAGTTTTCAGACATCTGGAGTTATTGGTATCATCTTAAAGATTGTTCATTTGACCATCTTTTGATGAAAAATATACACGCATATCTTGAATAGAAGTCGAAATATTTGCGACTGAAGGAGGTCGAGGTCGCCAGGTTTCAGAGGTAGAATTAGCAAGAAAATGGCTGCCAAAATTTGATTGAGAGTTCTAGGAAATTCAAAATTTACATTCGTTGTGCCTTTAATCAACGTTTTTAAAAGGACATGAAAGGTGTTGACAGGGTGTCCAGCAATATTTCCTGAAAAAATTTACTACCTGGAAATTTTTTTTACTACCCAGCAAATCAAGCCCTACACCAGCTCGAAAGGGGGAGTTCATATGCGTCATCAATAACATATATTACTATTACATAATATACGGAACGAAAATAATGCACCACAAAGTCCAGTTGACAAAATGGAAGATAGACTAATAGACAGACGATCCCAAGCTTGCTCGCCGCTAAATTTATTTTTATTTTCAGTAAGGTTTTTAAGAGCAGCAAGGGGTGGATGTTAACAAAGAAGTCCAAACGGGGAATCAAGCTTACTCTGCTCACCTGTCTAGCCTCAACGGCATAGTGTCTGCTTTGACTATCACAGCACCCCCGAAATAGTAGTTTACAATAGATAGTGATAAACATACAAAAGAAGTAGAGGGAAATGACGATAGTAAGGAAGAGGAAAGAAAAAGCAGCAGTTCCCCTTATGTTGTTCCGGCACAGTATGAGCATGACATTGATAAATCAGCCCATAGATCTATTTACAATTCTACTGTGCATATAAGAACATGTTACTATCCCTCCTTTGGTAGGGCTGTACCCCGGTAGCAAACACGCTCGTGCTCGTAAGCCCCTAGTTCAAGTCACAAGCCTCAAATCACTAGGTCAAATCATCAAATCAAATCACCAGCATGATACGTTGAGTCTAGCCTCTGCTTCAAGTACCCACACCAACTTGCAATCCGCAAAGCCACTCGTGTCTGACCCCCTCTTCCTTCCCCTCCCTGCTTGCTATCCGCGAAACCACTAACGTCAGAAAGAGAGAGGGGGGGGGGGGGAGAGAGAGAGACCCCGCGCATAGTGTCACTGCGCCACAAACTAGTCTGTTCGATTAATCGAAGGCATACGAGCAGCGGACGGCAGGCAAGACTCAAATCGCAGCAGAGCAAAGCACTTGGTCCCAAGACCTTTTTGGCGTCTCGTATTGCTTTGTGCTAAGGGCTTGCTCTCGTGCCAATAAATCTGCTTTGAGTCCAACTACCGCCCTGGCAGGACAACACCGCTCGTCAGGCAAACACCGCTCGTCTGCACCGAGCTGCAAGATCTACCGGTAATCCACCCCGCTCGCGGCGTGAACTCTGAACGTGGAGGAAGCGAGAGGCAGCGCTGGTTTTGGTGCAAGGCGAAGAGGGCTGTAATAGCCTAGTGCAGACCGTTCGTGACCTCGGTGCTTTAACAGTGAAAATGTGACATCTTCGTAGGCTCACATTTTGTTATGAGCTGTTTTCACTGGTACTAAAAATGGAGATACGACAAGAAAGCACTAGGGTCGCGGTATGCTAAACTATTTAGGACGCAGAATAAAGGTGTGAACACTTACAAACAATTTTTAACTGACAAAATAAATCAGTATTGTTAGCATCCCGTGGCTTGTAATTTAATCACTCGCCTAAATTATACTTCCACTCCCACCCCGACACTTAGAACAAGTTGAAGTTGAAGAGAAAGCATTGGGGAGGGGATGACAATCGTGATTTTGTCTCTGAACAATGTAAAAAACTTTTGATTTGACGGCTTCCCTATCAGAAGACCATTGTTAAGGTTAATTATATCACATTGTTAATTACATTGTAGGCCTATAACTTTTAAAAAAAACATCTTGCTGCACTGTAACTGATATTATGTATGTATTGTGCATGTTCTATCATACAAATATTAATTATGATGTTGAATTACGCCCAGAAAATCAATAAAGCAAAACATAATCCTTCCCCCCACCAAAAATTTTTTTTTTTAATCCGCAAAAAACTGAACCAAAAAAACCCCCAAAAAACAAGACAAATAAAACCCTGTCACACCAGGAGGCGTAAGGGGAGGGCGAGTTCTACGGAAAGCGAGAGGTGTCGAACACCCCTCGCTTTCCCAGCCATACCACCCCCTCCCCTCCCCAAACAGCGCCATTGCTGGAAGTGTGAGGGTTTTTTAGGTGTTGTCAGTGTGCGGCACGTGGGCAGAAGTATCGCGCGCTCAGTAAACAAGAGTTTGTGACGTCGCGACACAAATCAGTAAGCCCGTCCGCCGTCCACGAGTAGCAACTCCGGTAGCGGGCACGAGCCGTCCGTCGCTCGCAAGCCTTCGATTAATCAAGCAGACTCCAGCCCAATCCTTGGGGAATGGCCTAAAGATGCTTCAGTCAGTGGCACTGCCTTAGTGGTGGGGCGGGGGCAGATTTAGATCTAATGCCTGCACACAGGGTGACTGTCAAAGTGACTTCTCAATTTTTCAGGGGCATGCTACATAACACAAACACACGCTACATAACACAAACACACGTAAAATTATATCTAGTCTGTCAAGAACCAGTCTGGGTGTCATGACTAATATTATGAATGTGAAAGGCAAAAATTATAGTTCAAACTCTAAGTAGAGCAATAACTTGAATGGCTCAAGTAGACTCATGCAGTGTGAGAGGTGTAAGTGTAAGAGCTGTGGGAAGGGCAAGATGCAGTGGCATTGAAAATCAGCCAGTTTTGAACAGAAAACTACAATAATATTGTTATAATTTACAAACACCCACCTAATGAAACACGTACACTTTAGTTCAATAACACAGCTACAAGGTGTGAAAAAATCCCGATTCCACACACGGCCTGCACTAACGCGTGCGCTTTGCAGAGAGTTCTAAATCGAATCAAAATTCGGAAATTTGCTTCCAAGTTTGTGTCCTCTGATGTTGCCTTCAGCACCCCCCCCCCTCTGCATCTTAAAAAAAACAACAACCAATACTCCCTTACCCCATTCCGTAGTCCTATACTTCGCAACGCTCAGACTTTGAATGAACTTTGGCGACCCCAACAACAAACGCCGGTGCTCACGCGCACACAGGTTCATTGGCCGGTCACGATGGCGAGCTCGATAATCTAAAAATCGGACGACGCTTGTATTTTCTTCCCCCCCCCCCCCACACACACACAAGTGACAGCACGGTGACGAGTCCGAGTAATGATTAAATTTTATTTGCACGGCGACACAGCGTTTTTACTGTACAACCTGCATATTACAATTATGTTGCGTTATCAGTGCATCGCCGTCAAATTTCTGGGAGGAAACGAAAGCAGATCTTGATTTTCCCGATCGAGCCTCGGTGTGACATACACCTCCGCCTGCCGCCACAGCCGTCTTTTCGCATGAAACGTACTCTGGGACGGGGAAAAGGTGAACGAATATTATATCACAGTCGTGACCGGCAAAAACGGAGTCAGGTACGGTGGCTCGGGTTCACTGAAAAGTCTTGCTGGCTTCATCACTCAGTACACACGCTAATTTATGACTGTTTACCAAATGTTTACTACCTTCAAGGCAAATTTACCACCATTTACGACCTTGCTGGACACCCTGTGTTGAGCCAAGAAAAAAAATGGTCAAACTGGAGGCAAAATGCTGACATCTTAGATTTCATTATTTTGACGAACGCCTGATTTCATCACGATGCCTCACTTATATTCAGAGTGACTTTTGTCCTCTTTGTTTGATGCCAAATCTCAGGATGACAGAGAGTATCCAGTGGTCAAGTGGTACAAAAATTTTGACTTGTATTTTACCAAAAATAATTTGTGAAATTTAGTGCGGAAATTGGGTGATTGGGTGTGCTCATCAAATAATGACATATAAGAAACGTCAGTTTTTCCAAATAATTTTTTAAAAAAATTGTTTGTTACAAATTTGGGCTCAACACCTTTTATGTCCATTCAAAAAAACCCATCTGGATCGATAACAACTCCAAAAACACCCTTCTGTATTGCATTTACTGAAAAACCTAGATCAAAAGGCATGGCATGGGTCTCAACTCAGTATTTTAAAAAAGGAAGAACTTTCCAGGTGATCGCGACAGCAGCCCATTTTCGCGAAATATCAATTATTATTAATCAGTTGAACCCTAGAAAGCTGAAATAAAAACCATCAATTTATCGAAGCAAGGTCATTTCATACCAATTTGAGGGTTTGGAAGATAATTTCAAGTAAGAGTCACTTGCCCAATATTTACAATCTGGATTACGTACAGAAAGCGGTGGCGCACTGGGGTCTTGTGCAACTTATTTATATTTTCCATTCTTCCTTCATTCGCCTGCACATATAAACTATATAAAAAATTAATCTTGTTTTGAACCTCAGAAAAGGCCTAGAACCAGAATATCGACTGTCATGAACCAAACTGGGTGTCATGATCCATATCATATATATAATAAACGTGACAGACAAAAATTAACGCTCAAACTCAAAGTAGAGTAATAACTTGCATAGCTCAAGTAGACATATTCAGTGTGAGAGGTGTAAGATGCAGTGACATTGAAAATCTATCTGCGAATCTTGAACAGAAAACTAAAATATAGAGATATAATTTACTGTCACCCATCCAATGAAATGCAAACACTTGACTTAGGCCCTTAAGTTCAATAACACCCTGACAAGTTATGACAGTTCTCGATTTCACACAAGGCGAGCACCAACGCGCACTTTACTTTGCAGAGAGCTGTGGTAGTAATCAAAATTCTAAATATTAAAAATTTGCTTCCAATTTAAGTTTGTTTGTCCCCTGGTGTTGCGTCCAGCCAGCCCCCCCCCCCTCGAGTGTATTTTTTTTTTTTTAATATTGACTTATTTCCTCCATTTTGTGCAGACACTGACTTCAAATGTTGCTATAACAGGTATGATTTATCTTCAACTTCCAACAGTCAACAAGCGCATGTGACCTTCATGTAGACCTGCATGTGAGCCTCAACCAGATTGTCTGAAAATTTTGCACATAAAAGCTTTTGTGGGTGTCATAAGGAAGGACTTCCGAGTAACGAGCGACCACCCCGACAAACACAAAAAAGAAGAGACCTTACCCTAACCCTACCCCTAAAAAGAACCTGCAACAGGCCTCATGTAAAAAGGCCAGCACAAGTCCAAAATGAAAAAATTAAAAAACCACACTCCAAAACAAACAAGGAGCATGCATTAGTATGGCCTAGACCTACATCTACATTGCTAGATCTAGATCTATAGTATAATAGGGTTTGATACAATAACACAATTATCAATAGAATTGGAATGAATCCTCCATATAGATCTAGATCTAGATATCTAAATAAATCTAGATCTAGATTCTAAATCGAGATCTTGTAGAACAAGTGAATAGGAATAGGCCTTGAACTAGAAATCCGCATCCGATTCCGATCAGAGGGACTCAGCTGACTAAATAAATAAATAATTCACGCACCTGATGAAATGCTTTTTACCAACATTAACACTTCAGCACAACCTATGATAGGGTTTGACACAATAGAATTGGAATATGAATCCTCCATTGAGGTCTATAATGATCTATACAAAACTAGATCTAGATCTAGATCTAGAACAAGTGAGTCGGACTTGAATGAATCCACATGATCTGAACAATTGAATTTGTTAAGAAACGAAATTCAAAATGGCCGCTCGAGCACGAAATTGAAAGTAGATAATTTAGGTCGTTGTCCTTTTTCGTATTCGCATGTCTACCTGGGTTCCGACAATTATGTCGGAAACGCCGACGTCGGCACGAAAACAAGAGTGCCGACAAAGCCGACGGGAGAAAAAGGGGGCGCTGGCAGTCGGCCAGGCCTCGCACTTTGGCTGATACAGGCGGGCCTAGCGATAGCATCGGCCGGCTCGCGGGTCGGGTCACGACTGTCGCATTTCAGACGATTGTCGGCAAACATGCAGGTCTACTTCATTGTTTTTAATTAATTTTTTTTAAAATTCTAGGAAGACTAGTCACTCTAGCCAATTTACCCAGGCATGGAGGGGGGGTCCAAAATACATCAGAGAGAGAGATAATTCACACCAAACCTCTGCCATATTCAGTGGCAAAAAGGAAAACCAAAATACCCCCCCCCCCCCAAAAAAAAAACCTTCGTTATTCTAACATAATCACAAGTAGTCAAAGTGAAGACACAAAGAGATTAAACAGCAAAAGAGAAACATGCATAAATTTTGGGCTTGGATTAATAAAAAAACAACCCAAGTTGATAAACTACCCACCAATCTGATAGCCTTTTCCACAGCTTTTGACCGCAAGGCCAGTATCTCTGACTGAGAATTGAAGAGAGCTCCGCTGCAAATGGTAGTCAAATTCTTGATGTGCTTCACAGGAGTTGGGTGACGTGAGCTCAGAGCATTCTCCCTGTCGTACACAGTGACAATGCCACTCTTTGATCTAAACACGGGCAAAAAAGACAAATGTATAACGACGTGGTGGAATCAGGCTCTCATCAATTTTTGGGCATATGGAGTTACTGGTACATGTATCATCTTAAAGCATGTTCATTTGTCTTGTTTTTGCAAAAAGAATTTCCCACCTATCTTCAAAAGAAGTCAAAATATTTTGGATTGAAGGAGGTGGGGGGTCACCTGGTTAAAGAGGGAAAACTAGTGAGATTGTGGCTGCCAAAATTTGGTGACTTCCAAAGCTTGAGAGTCCTTGAAAATTGCAAATTTGCATTTTATGTGCCTCTAATCAAAATTTAGGGGACTGTACAGTCCGTTAGCGCTACTCATTGAAGTTCCCCAGCGCTGTTTTGTGCACAGGGGGACTGCAACTGCAAAGAAACAACCTTTGACCTTTGGATCGAGGCTAGATCAAGAACCAAACACTGTTTATTAGAGGCGAATTTATCATTTATGTCGACAGGTTTGTTGATCTAGGATCTATCTAGATCTAGTAGTATAGACTGTAGACCACACTACATGGTAGGTCTACTCTTCTTCAATGAAAAAATTCGCAGTCTGCGTCTATAATATCTAGGCCTAGATCTAGTAGTAGGCCTAGTATTAGTAATACCAAAGATTCTCTACTTCCAAGATATTGCAATCCTTCTTTGGGCTTTTGTCCCAAGGCGTAGTGGGCCAGCTTTGCAGAGGACGTCACTAAGCGATGCGAGGTTGGTATCATCGCTGACTGCTTGGGGTGTGAGTGTGTTTCTTTGCAGTCCCCTAGTGCAAAAAGCAGCACTACAGTACTGCACAGTTCTCCAGTGGGTAGCGCTAGGGGACTGCACAGTCCCATAACAACTTCCTTTACTGAATCCCTCAAATTCTCAGCCATTTTATGCAAATTCCTGCATAGTTCAAGAAAATTTCTTTGGAGATTCAAAACAATCTAGTAATACAGCAACAAAGTAAAAAAAACTAGGCCTTCATTACTGCCACTTACCCACACACCACATAACTGTTGTCTGGCGAAGCGGCAACACATGACCCGTCAATGCAGCCTCCATCATAGAAACGGTGTATGCAGTCTCGAGTGTCCATGTCCCACACATACACCAAACCTTCAGCTGGAACAAACAAGAGAGGCATTCATCGAAGAAGACTGAATGAAATATTGAAAATCACAAATGGACTAACTCTTTCCCAAAATGTTCAACAAGGTATCTGAACCCAATACTAAACTAGCTCAACATAGCAACAATTTTACATGAACTAATATAATACTAACAACACGTTCTACACAATTGATAATGTTATCAAGGGAATCTTACTTCACGAAGAAACAGCAAACCTTGCCCCCAAAAAAGTTTTTCTTAATTGATGTGAGTAACAAACCCCAAAAAACAAAACGGTTCTTAATATATGACTTCCAATGTGATTTTTTTTTCATTTTTGTTTTGTTGAGATAGGGTTCCACAGTTCAGGTAGTACATTTCATATTAATATTCTAATATTCAGTTGAATTAAAAATAGTGTAATTATGAATTAAGGAGACAAAAGGAATTGATCCAGTGGTTACTTCACTTGATAACATGTAAATTGCTTGCTGAATTGAACCAACTATGATGGCTATGAACAAAACATAAAGAGCCATAAATCTTCCACTGATACAACGTGTATTACACTTCCAGAAAAACTTTATTCAAAGACATGCACAACATAGGTATTATGCTGTCATTCTAAAAAACAACAGTATATCAGTTTTTACAATTTTATAGGAGAGCCAAAAAACTAACAATGAAACATTTGCTATATAATAAGGAAACTATTATCAAAATTGCGTTCTTTTGATACTTCCTTGTTATCTTTAAGGCAAATATCTTATTGATAACATTCAGTTTTTTGGTTCTCCTATAAAATTGTAAAAACTGCATATTACTGTATTACTAAACATGATGACAGTATTATATCATACTTACAGCCAAATGAATACATGAGCTTTCCATCTTTGGAAAAGGACACCGACTTCACGGAGTCATTCATTTTCAGAGTCTCAATCAATTCTTTACTCTGAAATACAGAAAATGCTCTGCCATAAACGAAAGTAAATATTTAATTAGAAGCATAACATTTTCTATTAATAGAGAGAAAATCAAACAGACCATTCTATATATAAACGTCTGTTTTAAATTTTTTTTTTTAGCGGGGTTTTTTAAAAAGTAGGTGCACTTTTATGCCCCCCTTGACACAAGTCAGTGTAAAAAGTGAGTACCTAACAAAGAAACAAAAGTATTAGTTTTCCATAAATCATATTTTATGCTCACTATGCATAAAAAGTTAGTTTCAAAATGCACACAGATAATAGACTTTTTGGTTTGGCAAAAGTTTTATGCTGCTTGCAACTACATAAGGTCATACTAGCGGGCAGGACACAAGTTGGTTATTTTCACATTATATTAGAGCACGCCCTGATTTAACTTTAAAAAAATTTCGGTTAGTGTTTTAGAGTGCTCACAACTGCAAACGGTCATTTGAGCACGCGAGACACGTTAAACATTTTTAGTTGGTAGGAAATTTTGAATTTTGCCCAGGTGGCAGCTGACGCCTACTCTTATCAATTTTGGACCGCCATGGGATCTTTAATGTATGCAACTTGCACACAGGACCTCTCAAGATTTTTAGCCCTTATCAGAGAAGGCTAAGTGTTCCATCTTATCTACCATAAGATCAGGGGTGTGGCTGACAGACAACAGTAAGAAGGAGCCAAGAAGCAACAGTAGAAAGGCTGCAGAGGAGGAGGCAGAAATTGGAGACCAAAGCAGATGACAGAACATTGTTAGAGAGCAAGAAAGGAGGTGAAATGAGAAAATGTAGAGAACAAAAATTTCCATCGATATCTGATTGAATGAGAGGCAAACACTGTAACACTGTTTAATCCTGAGCGGCTGCAAACTTCAAAGGGATTCAGCTTCACAACCCGTTTCTCCCAATTCTGATTTTAGGTGTCTAAAGGGGCTATTTCGAGATTAGTTAAAACTGACAATTGCCCTTCCTCTTTGTGATAAGAAAATACTACATGATGCAATCTTTATAAAAAAAATAATAATTTTGCGATCTTCTAAATCCAACACGAAAAAGAGTCACCCACGAGTCATTTTGTTAATTTTGGGACGCTGGTTTTGAATTTGATATTAATTTTACTATAGTGTAGCGTTCAATATAAACAAAGTGTTTAAAAACGGCGGGCCACATCGATACCAACAAACAAAAGCAGAAAAGCAAGGAAAATTCTACTGGGAGTCTGGGAGCCGCAAAGGCCCCCAACAGGGTCCACACAAGCATCCCAATGGCGATTTAGAGAACCGAGCCCCTGAAGAAATCAAAATTTAGCTCTTTCAATGGTTGAAAATGGCATATGAGAGCTTGTTTGAATAGATTTCTAACAACCCATATTACCTATTTTTCACCATGATTGTACCCTGTTTGATTTCTTCATCTATCATAGCTGCCACTCAGAAATTTTAAAAAAGGAGGAAATTCACACGAAGGTGTACGCGCGCTCTCTGAAACCATTGAGACCCAGAGGCAATATATACTGGAAAATCTAGCCTACGGTCTTGGAAGGGAAACCTGTCATATTGTTAACCATAGGCAACTGAATTAAAATTAAAATGTATTTGAAAAAAACAAAAACACATAAAGGCAGTAAGTTGACTAACAAGCATTCGAGTCAACTTGACACAGTTTGGACTTGGTGACTAAAAATCCTGTGTTTTTTGCCAGCTGGTGTCTCATAAAAAGATTTATTTCACTTTAAACGTGTACATACATAGACGTAGAGCAGTATCGGATCAAGGATGCAGGCACTCCTGTACCAATTGCGGTCCCGTTTGCACTTAGTGCCCCTGTAGTCTGTAGTGTGTTTCTTATTTAGAGATAAGCTGAATTAAAAGTATAGCCTAGGCTATCTAATCTAGATCTAGATATATCTAAATATGTGTAGATCTAAAAAAATATTATATCTAGAGATAGATTTTCTAGACCTAGATCTAGATCTAGATTCACTTCCACAGCAGCCACAATAGCCGTCATGTAAACAAACGGGACCGCAATTGTACAGGAGTGCCGCGGGCCGCGATTTCTTTCGCAAAAAACGGCTAGTTCAATTTTCTAATGAACTTTTCAAGTCGCACACCGGCTGCTTCTTTCTCATTCCAGCTCCTTTTATTTTTGCATTCTGAATCAATTTCTCTCGAATTTCCGCCAATTTCAATGACAACTCGGCGCGCTAACGTCCCGATGCCCGATCGACACTGTGTTGCTCCACAACAATAAACAATGTGAAACTAGCGCTGGGCCTAGAAGAACGGAAGTAGAAAGCTACGGGCGGACATGCGCAAACCGCGTTTTCGCCTCTCCCGGTTCGGTGTTTTCCGCGTGGAAAAAAAAGTATGAAATTTGCGACCAAGAGCGGTCCAGCGGAGGAAGGAGGAAAGTTGCGGGAAAAGCTAGATGTAGCGGAGTTTCCGCTATTTAGCGGGAAAAGTGGCAGCTATGATCTATATATCTTTCTCTTGCTGGCAATGTTTACAAGAAGGTTCTCCTTGCCATTGCCACTAAAATTCAATTAGGCATCGCACGATTGATTTAAGGCAAATCAGGGAACATCAATTATTTTCATGTTCAAATGTCGAATAACACAACCTCGGAGCAACAATTTCAATTAATCTTGATTTAGTTTTAGCATCAATGTCTTTCACCCGGGCCTTTATTCTGGTTCCGTAGAATCCTCACACAGGTAAATTTTCTAGTTCTAGAGACAGATCTGAATAAAGTTTTTGTCTGAAAAATCACTATTCATTTACCTAGATTAAAGCACATATTTTCCAGTTGCAACAAAGACCCGTAGACGGACAGAATAAAAAAAAGGGAGGAAATTGGAACATAAATTTTGCTCTTGTGATTAGCCAGATTTTGACTGACTTGGTGAAAACGGATTGCCAACCCTTCTGCAATGAATGCAGAGAGGGATAATGGTCAAGTGCATGAAATGCGCAATCTGGCAGGTTTCTAAAACAAATTAATGCAAAGAATTACAGCAAATTTACTAAAAACAGAACTTATTCATTCTGACTTAAAACAAGGGCAAGTACGGATCCTTTGCTATGGAATATCAGTAGGAGTTCCACACTTTAGTTCTCTTAATGGATGGAGTTATAATACTAACAGGAGGAGCAATTGCAGAACTTTCAGAAGATTTGTTTAAAAAATACGGAAAATTGGACGCACCGTTTATATAGATGTTTTTATGGCCCCATCTATATAACTTAGAATACTTATATTATGAAGCAGGTTTCAGGGCAACCCCGTGCTGAGAGAGATACAACACAGAAAGACCAAAGTACTCTGTAAGAATTCTCTCCACTCCAAAATCAAAGTCGGGTCTCCTGCATGCTACAGCAAAGCACCCAACTACTACAACACAAACGCCAGTCACTACATGTCTCTTATATGTTATTCAAAACATTTCCATAAGGACTCCTCTGATACCAAAAGATTTGAGACTTGAATTACTAACCTTTTGAGAGAAAAGATGAATATGACCATAGGTGCCCAAGAATGCAATAAATCGTTCATCTGGTGACACAACAAACTTGGACATAGCAGTGACCTCCAAGCCTGTAAAGAGAAAAAAATCAATCAAAACGACTAAATTCATTGCATTAGCAGTTTGCTCTGCTGGTACAAATTTTGACTTCAAAATCTAGGAACAAGGGAAAAAAACCAATGGGTATTTTTACATTACAAGTTTCTGGCCCCTCTCAACTTTTGTGAAGCGTAGCATACAGTAAAGCCCATTGAATTTAACGCCCCTATTAACACTGTTCAGTTGTCTAACAGGTGGGATCTGCTAATCTAACTTCTGTTAGATTTGGATGTGAAGAATATTACGTATTAAGAGGGGGTGTAAACAAATCATCAAGATACATGAAAATTGATGGCATGACCATGCTTTATGATTATCACTGTACTGTTTTAATTAAGCACAGTAAAAGTGCATGTGACCAGGAGGAACTGTTCATTTTGTCTAAAAGTTATCATGAACTCTGGTAAACTCTTTCCAATTCCTATGGACAAGAAACCAAATGCCACACGTGCTTCTCCGAAAATGAGATATTTATTTAAATTAGACTACAGTTCCATGAAATGCATCTGAAAGAAAAATGAACTAGATTGCTCCTCTGCCGGCAAATAATAATACAAAGATCCCAGTTGCTTGAACGTCGGCGTCTTTAACACAAGATGACAATGATGGAGACAAAAATTGGACGTCAGAAGGAACTCCTTCCTTGTCACAATGAATGAAAGCCGAAATTGTTTAATCCACATATCTGAAATGTCACTGAATTTTGCTGACCCTCTTCTTTTTCCTTTCTTTCCCCCCCTACCCTCCCCACTTTCTCTCATCTCATGTATCTCTTTATAAATAGCTAGTTCTCATGGTTACTAGTATCAATTACTCAAAGCACAACTCTAGTCTAAATTTTGTGGCTCCCCAGGTAGGATAAGAAATGGAAGTTTTAAGGAACAAAATCCTGTGCAGGGGTGTAAGCTTAGTGTGTTGAGAGACATGGCATGCGATTCTGAAATAGTCTGGTATCGATATATATGACTATGTCGACACTATACCACTACTAAACGTCATTTTAAACAAATTTTCCAAATATTTTTGTATGTTACAGAGGAAGGTTTTATGGTTCTAAAGACACCAAATTTTTAACCCCCATAGTGAAATGCACAGATTAAGTTATTCGCCTGAAGGCCGAACATAAAATCTCACAAATGTGACCGGCAAAAATGAAATTAATGACCATAGCAGTTTTGGTTTCCAAATTTGAGAGAATTTCATGCATTTTCCCAGGTTTTTCGCGGGGCAATTCAGATTTCCCCATATTCCCAGGTCCCAGCGATTTTTTTAAAAATTCCCTGGGCCCTCGGGATTATCACAGGCTAGGCAGTCACCATGGGTATGTCATTTTTCTCCCAGTGTTGACAAAGTTTTTTAAGTTTTGAAATGTAAATTTTGTTTAGTCATTAAGGAGCCAACTGGGTTGAGAGGGATAGAACATCCCAGCCGTTGTTGTGATTGATCCAGAACATCCCAGCACAAAGACCAAGATACTCAAAAATTTCTCCCCACTGGGAAATCTAACTTAAGCCTCCTACACGAGACAGCGCTGCGCCCAACCGCTACACCACAGATCTGCTGAAAGCTGAAAAAGCACCTTTTTTAAATCAAAGCAGTTTCGAGAAAAAGAGGACTTTTGTCAGCCTAACCATTGAAAAATAGAGTTCTTCTGAAATTTCAATTCAAATTTATTTAAAAATCTAGTTACAGTTTCACTTTGATTTTTTCCCACAAGTTGGATAACTAATCATGCTTTTGATTTAACTAATAAAAAATGTTTGCGCCAAAATGAAAAAAAGGCGTTTTGTAAGCTTACAACAGAGGTGCCAATACAGTGTCACTGGATCAGAAGTAACCAGAACGATCGAATTTCATGATCATAAACGACGGGAGATCCCGCTCTTTCCTCTGATTACTGAACAACCAAGTAAGGCAACTGGAGAAGATGTGTCAACAACATAATGAATACCTGAAAACCAAAAATGTCTTTCTCTTTTTTTTATTCAGAGAAAACAATTCTCATGTAGTATCAACAGAAAGGCCATTCTTTTTCTACACGCCATTACACACATATAAGAAATCTGTGCGAACCCCTCTCCAGTTTTGTGTTCCAGCTGGCCAATATGTCCGTCCAGTTGGGTCTTCACTATGAGCTAGTGGACAACCTAATGAGAGTGTTTCTTGCACTATTCTTTGAAAAATAAGTAAGTTTATTCTCCCATTTATTTATTAGCCATTTCTGATTTTACTATTACTATTTCAAAATGTTATTTACTTACTTCCATTACAAATAATCATTTTTGTCTGCCCCGGTCATAATCAGTCGTAAGACTTGACGCAATGTGCTATTTGGTACAACGAGGTTCAAAAGCGAATTTACATGAATTTTTTGTTTTTTGGATCTATTGAAAGTTTAATGTCTTCTGCTTCATATAAACATACAGTCCATGCTGGCTTTAAGCACGGTCGTCGGGAGAAAGCTTAAGCGTGCTTAAAGCCGAAGCGTGCTTGAGTGCGAAGTAGACATAAATCCAGAGATCTTCATGTAGAAAATTTCGCTTGCTATTTCCCTTTGTTTGTAAGTAGGCCTATAGCAGTCCCGCAAAAGTGTGCACTGTTATTTTGAAACCCGCCTTGGTAGTTTTTGTTCGCTTGTTTGTTTTTGTTTTGTGGTTGAATGGGAAATGAAAACTTAATTTAGACGGCCAGTCACGATACAGCACACTAGGCCTACACACTGCCTGTGCGTACAACTGCCCGCTGTGCCACTCATACCACCGCCTTCATCCCACCTCACGCATGATACACAATCAGGATTAATGGATAGCGAGGGTCAAAGGTGAAATCGCAGCCAACCTCCCTTTCTCGTCTCCCCGACTCTCTTTGTATTTTTTTTTGGTCGTTTGTAGCTTTGCCCTAGGCCTAGGCTAGATTCTATGTCCGCGCGTGTGGCTGTGTGCATCTGCCTTCCTCTCCGCCCGTGTGAATGTGTGTCTCCATCACTTGCGTTTTTTGTGTTTCTCTTAACACACTCCACTGCTGCGGTATAGACTGTGTTCGAACTTCGATGGGTCATCATGAAAATATTTTCTGTATGTTCTCCTTGCTCATGTGCAAAATGGGTCGTCATATTTTTTTTGGTCCAATGTTTGAGGAAAAAAACAAACTTATAACAAGCATAAATACCAACAATTCTAAGAAGTTTGACTTAAAAGGATAAGAAATTTTCAAGCAGAACGCCTTTCAAATTCGCCTTTTGTGTGTTCCAAGCAAAAAATGTACACTAGAAAGTCATTTTCATACAATTTGGTGGCCTTACAGAATCGAAATTAATAACTGAAAATTCCTTTGGCATCAATAGCTGCATGAAAACAATAAATGAGTATCTGAATTGGCATCATATCAATGTATAACTGTTCAATGTCTTGCTTTTTGCTTGATGTGCAATAAGCCTTAAACTTTCAAAGTTTTGACTGAATTTGAACCTGGACAACTTTGTAAAATTTGACTGATGAATTTAATCTTTTCCACAGCTTTCTGACTCAATAGACAAAATTTACTTTCAAACTTTGTGAAATTTTCCAAGTGGCACCTATTAAAGGCCCATTTAGACGTACAGTTCGCTGATCGACAAACTGACAGTTTAACCGGCGGACGCTCGATCTGTGTCATCGGTAAACTGAAAGTTTGTCGGCGAGAGAAGTTCCGTTTAGACGTACAGTTTTTTACCCGTCCTTGGACTGTTGTAGCTAGATCTAGGTCAAAAACGTCAACAATAGCTAAAAGCAAGCTACATGGATGA